GAGGTAGGTGCTGGAGGGAACACAGGCGGACCAGCCTGAGCCTGGCCTACAGCAAGGAGCCTTACCCAGCCACGCCTGAGCTTGAGGCAGAGCTGCCTCGTTGAGCCCATCTCTAGTCAACTGGCAGATACATGAATGAGCACACATGACTGCAGCCTACCAAGTCTTGGTGTGATTTGTTATGCAGCAGTAACTAACCAATACAGTAGGCATTTCTAATACAGTTGATCCTTCATTAACAACCCAAGTGTAACTTTGGATTCCCTCGAAAACTTTACTAATAGCCTATTGTTGACTGGAAGCCTTACTGATAAGATGAACAGTTGAATAACCCTATTTGGTATGTTATGTGTATTAAATACTTTATTAGTATAATACAGTAAGCTAGAAAAAATAAAATGTCATCAAGAAAATCATAAGAAAGAGATAATATAGAGTGTCTCAAAAATGTATACACACACTTTGAATAATTATAAAGGCAGTGTTTAATAAAATACATTTCATTTTCAAAATTGCGCTACCAGCTGTTAAAGTGTGTATAGATTTTTTGGGACACCCTGTACTTTTGAAAAAAATTTACATATAAGTGGACCAGTGCACTTCAAACTCATGTCATGCAAGGGTCAACTGTCGTTATTTTTTGTTTGTTTGTTTATTTGTTTCTTCTGTTTCAAAAAGCTTAGGTCACATCTTCCAAATCCCTCTCGCCCCCAGGAAATCCATCTATGTTTCTGTTCACAGAGGGTAACAGCTTTTGTCCCCAGTCTGTCCAACACCAAGGATTGTTTTAAAGTGCCATTTTGACATGCAAACAAATGATCTAGGTTTTTTGTTTTGTTTTATTTGTTTTGTTTTTTGCGATTCTTTTGTTGTAAGTGAGGATGAACATCTTTAAATGTATTTACTGGCCTATGGTTTCTCTTCTGCGAAGTGCTGGTTTATATTCCTTGATTACCCTGCCACAGAGGGAAACTGAAAGGGTTTGGATGAACGCACTCCTTGAGTTCTGATCCCCTCCTCAGCCCCACAGACTTAAAACTGCCCTGTTTGCATACTATTTTAACAATGCAGATTCCTATGTTGCAACAACACATATTTTCCAAATGTTTCCTGAGTCCATCGGGTGCAGTGAAAAAGTATTCAGAACTAGAAGACCTGGAGCTGAGTTAAAATGACCAAAGAAAACTCATTTTATTTCTCCCGCCCTCAGTTTCTCAGCTGTAAAATGGAGGTAATAATGGAAACTTTCTGTCAGTGTTGCTGTGAAGAATAAATAAGATTATGGACAACCAGCACAAAAAAATAATGCATGTAGCATGCGGCATCCTGCACAGTAAGCCCTCAGATTTGCAGTGGTTTTTCCTTCCTTACAAGGAAGAGCTACAAGGGCTGAGAGAAAGGAAAGATTTCTCTGAGTGAGAGGAACAGTTTGAGAGTGTTGGGCAGAAATGGAAGATATTCTGGGTTTGCAGACAAGGCAGTATGACCCCATCCTCAGGGGGTGCCAAGAGCATAGCAATTACCCACATAAAGAAGCATTTTATTTTTATCATTGTTGTTATTTCTGCTTTAAAAGTGGGGAAGCAGAAACTAGAGAGGTTGTGTGACTTCCCTAAAGCTGCAGACTTGGTCACCACCTCTTCAGCAAGCCATCTTTCCCAGCCATGGACTCCAGAGGGAACTGCACTTCATCCGCAGGAGGGAGGAGCCGCCTGCCTCCTTGCACACCTTCAGGGGCCACCTCTGCTTCCGGTCAAGGCCAGGCACTCCGGAGGCAGCCCCCTCCCTATAGGGACTGAGCAGGGTAGGACGAGGGCCTGGCTATTTCTCTCTGCTCCGGAGCTCCCTGCAGAGTGGCTGAGACTGGGTCCTGTTTGCAGGTTGCGCTGAGGCTGTCCTGCCCACTCCTGCCCCTCCACGTTTTCACAGGTGTTGCCCCCAGTAAACCTCTCCAGCTCCCATATCCCTGTGTGCCAGCCTCTGGAGGCCCCACAGACTCACCATCCTCATCATGCCACCCCAGTCCTGATCCTGATGAGAGGGCCCTGGGATTTGTCTGCTCGGTGTACAGGGCTTAGGGGGCAGTGCTGGGGCGAGGGGGGCACCGTGAAGGATCATAATACCTAACACTGAGTCTTTACTATGTGCCGGGCACCCTTTCAAACACTCCCTTCATGCTCCTCATTTTAATTACTCCTCACCAGAACGCTGAGAAAAGAGGACTGTTATTTTTATGTTAAGACTGGAAAATGCGGCCCAGAGAGGTTCAGTATCTTGGTTGTTCAGGTAAAGACCCGCTATGTGATAGCACCGGGGTCCCAGCCCAGAATCTTCATTCTCAGCTGTGTCTCTGCAGTGGGATGAGGGCAAGCTCTCTGGGCAGGGGCGGGCAGGCACTTGTGCACAGAGGGTCCTTTAGGGGCCATCCCTGTCCTCCCCGGCTAGTTTGTTCAGTGATAGTATCTGTCCCACAGGCCTCAGCCAGGTCATACTGCCCCAGGAGGGGAAAGGAGATAGGAAAATTATTTCAAGCAGACACCACAGCCAAGTGTCACACAGAGGTCAGGAGGCCGCGGCCCGCAGTTAGAGGCAACAGCTCTCTAGCAGCTGGGGATGCTGTTGTGCTAATTTTACCCAGTTCCTCTTCTGCCCACATCAGCCTCCCGGAGGCCAGCGCAGAGCCAGCGTGCCCACATTGCTGCCCTGCACTGCGGCCCCTGTGTATGCAAGGGGAGCTTCCTCAGCTTTGCTCCGCCTAAGAGCTTCTCAGAGGAACGGCCTGACAGAGGGGCAGGTGGCAGCACATCTCCTTTAGCTCTTAATCTTGCTTGTGTCAGACAGACCTGGGTTCGAATTCCCCTCTGCTCTTACCAGCTGTGTGTCGTCAGGTTAACCCTATCAGGTGGTTACTACTATATGACAGACCATCCCACAGCCTAGTGGCTTTAAGCCACAACCACCTGCCATTCCTGCCATTGCTCATGAATCGATGGGTTGGTTGGCCAGCCGTCCTTCTGATACGGGCCTGGCTTGAGCAGTCTCAGCTGGTGGAGCACCTCCCCTGCTCTACATGCCCACGCCCCCTCTGGAGGGCGAACCTGAGCTTGCTGCTATAATGTGGCAGGAATTCCGAGAGAGAGAGAGAGAGAGAGAGAGAGAGAGAGAGAGAGAGAGAGAGAGAGAGAGAGAGAGAGAGAGTAACAGACCTGGCTCCTGATGAGAAGAGCTGCAAAGTCACAGGGCAAAGGCGCTGGACCGCGATTGTGAACTGAAGCCAACAGACCACATCTGTGGTGCAATTTGTTCATTTAAAGAAGCAGCGATTCACTTGTATCCCATGATGCTCCGGTGCTCTGTGTTCTCTGGGGGATGGTCAGTCCGGTGCAGCCACAAGAGTGGGCACAGGAGAAGTGCGGGGAACAAAGGTGATTATACTCCCAGGTCCTAGAGACATGATCTGCAGCCAAGAAGAGGTATGTATAAAAAGGAAGTGACGAGGGAGCGGGCAGCCTCGCAGGCAGGGAGCTGAGAGAGCGAGGATTCAGGGTGAGGGCCTTGCTCAGGGGACCGCTGGAGTACCAAGCAAAGGACGCTGAGTCGGAGAAGCTGCATGGACACAGGGCCAGACGGAACATTAAGGCTGCCTGTGGACTGTGTGAGACCACAGGGTCACTTCCCTGTGAGCCAGAGTCAGGCATCTGGCCGCTGCCTAAGGGCCTGGGAGCACTGAAGGCTTTAGGCAGGGAGAGGCATGTTAGCTTTGCCATTTCTGAAGGTCTCTCCGGCTGCTGTGTGGAAGGAATGGGTGGTGTTTGGAGCGTGCTAGAGGGAGAGTCTAGTTAGGAGATGCTCCAAGTCTCCCCAAGACCGTTGTGATGGCAATGCTGAGGAGCAGTGGGGGACTGGAGAGGTGTTAGGGAGGTAGAATTAGGGGGACTTGGTGCCTGGTGGAAGAGGGGGTAACAGGCAGACATGGATTTTGACAGTGTCTGTCCTGGGCTCTGGATGGAGGGAGCCACTGGCTGAGATGGGACAGAGGAGGGTAGATGAGGAGCCAGGATCCAACTGCCTGGCCTGAGAGGTGCCATGTGGAGGCAGTTGCCAGGCAGATATGTATGACCGGAGCTCAGGAGACAGAGCTGCACCTCATCAGCAGCTCAGAGGTAAAAGCCATTGCTCTGGAAGGGAAGTGTTGGGCATGGCTGAGCCACAGCCCTGCTCAGTGGCACGGACAGTCCATTCCATGCCAGGATTTTGACTATTCTGTGCTTATAAACTGCTTTTGTTCCTCTGAAAATGTGTGTGTGTGTGTGTGTGTGTGTGTGTGTGTGTGTGTGAGAGAGAGAGGGGGGGGGGGGATGTGATTGTACTTAGAAAGTGTATATCCCAGGGGAAGAATGAAAAGGGATCCGAATTCCTCTTAGGGGGTGAGTTGCTCTACCTTCTTGGCTGAATTCAGTTGTTCATTGAGCAAATTTGTACAGAGCCCTAAGGGATGGCTACAGCAGACACAAGTCCCTGCATTGCTGGGGCTCACAACCTAATGAGAGCTGATTTCCATGCTTCAAGGTACAGTTCCTATTGATCAGGCAACATGGTGCCAATTACACATGAACATCTTCATTTGCTGGAGAATAGCTCCAGTGCTGGAGGGAGAACCCACTCGCTGTGAGATGTCACATCGGAGGGATTGGAGGGATGGTCACGACTAACTGTGACTGCTTAGACCCCCTGCCCTCCACTCTCCCCAGGCTGTACGCTGAAACTCCAAGGCCCCTGTGTGAGGAGCACATGAGAACTCGATGCAGTGTTGTGTGCACTGCGTGGGCACATCAAGAAGGGGTGGGAGGTACACACTAGTGATTACAGCCAAGGCCAATGAAGTACCAGGTATTATTAATGCATTTTATTAATGACCCACTATCAGCACTCCTCTGAGAGCTCCAGCCTTCCCGTGTCTATGCCCGCAGGCATGGGGCAGGGGGAGGGGGGAAGGGGGAGGAGGGGGCAGCCGGAGGCCTGCAGGTCAGCTGCACTCCACCCCCGCATCCTCGCTGTGGTTGCAGTTGTGAGAGCCCCAGTTACTCTTGTTGCAGTTCCACAGGGTCGACTCTGTCCCTCGACAGGCCAAGTCGTCCAGCCAGATGGACCCAGAGCCTAGACACAGAGACAGGAGGGGGCAGTGTGGGGTGAGGCTCGAAGCGGAGCAGCCCGTTGGTGGCTAGGGCTCCCAGTTTGGGTAGACTGCGGGAAGGAAGGCCATAGGTCTGCCAGGGGAAGGAAGGCCATAGGTCTGCCAGGGGAAGGAAGGCCATAGGTCTGCCAGGGGAAGGAAGGCCATAGGTCTGCCAGGGGAAGGAAGGTCATAGGTCTTCAGGGGAAGGAAGGTCAAGGTCTTCAGGGGAAGAAAGGTCATAGGTCTTCAGGGGAAGAAAGGTCATAGGTCTTCAGGGGAAGGAAGGTCAAGGTCTTCAGGGGAAGGAAGGTCACAGGTCTTCAGGGGAAGGAAGGCCATAGGTCTGCCAGGGGAAGGAAGGCCATAGGTCTTCAGGGGAAGGAAGGTCAAGGTCTTCAGGGGAAGAAAGGTCATAGGTCTTCAGGGGAAGGAAGGTCAAGGTCTTCAGGGGAAGGAAGGTCATAGGTCTTCAGGGCCCTGAGCTGTAGACCTTTTCAGTTGCTTGTACCAATCTTTTTCTTTTAACCCAAACCACGGGGAGTCACTTGCACCCAAAGGGAGAGAAAACCCATGCTGCCCCTCCTGGCAAGAGGCAGCTGGTGGAGGACCACTTACCAGGGCCTATATTGAAAAGGGCCTTTCCCACAGAGTAGCCCAGCATGCGGCAAAAGACGGTGGCATCCGCATTGTCCCAGCCATCATCACAAATTGTCCCCCAGGCGTTGTTATAGAAAACTTCGGCCCGGCCTCTTTTCGCAGAGCCCACAATCCTGACGGCTGCCAGGGATTCGCCTGAGAGGAAAACACAGGAGCGAGAGGTGAGGACGCCGCCTGGGGCTGGTGTGAGTGTCGGCTCTGCCTCTCCTATGAGGGCCATCCTATAGTGAGAGGGGAAAGACCCTGCTTGGCCAGGAAGACCCCCATGGCACCAACATGGCCTGCCTAGCAGCCTTCAGCCCCTGGGCCCGCAGCCACGAGGCCAAAGATCAGGTGCCTTTGTGGCTGGTCTAGCAAATCCAGGCGACCGTATCTGGCCTGAGTTTCGGGGAGAAGAAAAGAAAAATAGAGAAAAAGGAAGAAAGAAAAGAAGAGAGGGAGAGAGAAAAGACAGGAGGGAGAGAGGGAAGAGAGGAAGAGGGGGAGCAGGGGGGAGGGGACGCTGCTGCCCTGTGACTGTGCTGTGAGCAGGCCCACTCAAGGGAAAGCCCGTTAACCTCCCCACAATGAGGCGTCTCTCTGAGAACCAAGGCCTCCTTCCCCCCTCCCCCCTACACACAAGTGTCCAAGTACAGAACTGACTCTACAGCACAGAGTAAAGAGAATAAAAGCAGCAATTACCTTTCTGACCCTTTTCTCCCTTTACTCCTTGCAGCCCGGTAGACCCTGTCACAAGGAGAAAAACCAATGATTTGAAGGAAACAGGCCAGGACTCTCTCGCCCTCCTTTGCCTGGGGGGAGAGGGGGTGGAGGATGGGGGGAGCCTTCGGAGGAGGTCAGCTTCTTGTCCCAGCTTTGCCGGTGACCTGGCATTAAGCAGACAGGAGGTTCCACAGAAAGTTAAGGCACAGCAGGAGGGATTTAAGCTGGATTAGTGAGGGACTTCTGATGGGTAAGAGACAGGGAGAGACGCATCTCCTTTGAGGGAAGCTGAGGTCAGGGAGGCTGTGCGGATGGCTGGGCACTGCTGGGTGTGGAGTGGATGCACGTTCACGCGCGCCTGCAGGCTCAGTGCTGAGACCAACCCCAGCTCAGAACTCACCACTGAACCCACAGACCTTCACCTTCTGCTTCTGAAAACGCCACGCCCCTACAGCAGGCTCTCTCTTTGGCAACCACAAGATAGAAACAGGGCCTTACCTTTCATTCCTGGGTCCCCCTTCTGGCCGGCTGGTCCAGTTGCACCCTTGGAGCCCACCAGGCCTGGGCTTCCCCTGTCTCCCTTCATGCCTGCGGGGCCTGGAGGAGAAGGACCCTCTGTCAGATCCTCCCCCTGCTGGCCATGAGCGAGTGGCCCTCGGTGCCTCCTGAGTGAGTGGCCCCGAACCAGCCGGGTTCCCCTCTGAACCGTTTGGAAATTCAGCTGGTGTCTTTGGTCCAACTGGGGGGGTGGGGGGGGGGGGGTGGCTCGAATCACCCGTCTCCCATGTGCATGCTGGTTGAGAAACTGCTGACAGGAGTCCAGAGTGGTTGGTCCTCAGTGGACTGCATCATTGTGTGGAAGTTCTAGCCATTCTGGGAGAAGTTGCTAGAATGCCGCTAGGCCTCGTTTTCTCCTTGGTAAGTTAGGATAGGAACAGAGTATCCAGTGTTGAAGGAAGGAAGACTGCTCAGGCGCTGGGTCTGAGAAGCCCTGCCCTGGCACTCCCTGGGGTCGGGCAGCTTCCTGGGGTGGGGCACTGAGAAGACAGAGATGCTGAACCGAGTGCCAAGCACAACAACCAGCTCCCAGCAAGGGCTTGTGAGTGAGGAAGGTGTGAGTCCAGTGAGAAGAATGGGGGGAGAGGGTGCTGGAGGCACTATGGTGGCTGCACAGCCTAAGCCACTACCTGACCACCCGCTTTCTGGGCACTTTTCACCCTTCATCGTCCTCCCCCACCTTCCCCCCATCCCCTCACTTCACTGACATCCTGCCCTTGCCCAGGTTTCCCAGGGAGAATATCTGAGGCTTGGGAAACAGAGCCCTGAAGCCTTCGCCTCAAATGGTCTCAGGCCGGTCACTCTAGGGCAAGGTCACAGCAGTGCCTTCAAAGTCAGCAAGCCAGCCTCGCCCTTTCCAGTCATCATTGCGAGGAAATTAAAATAGAGTCAGCCCTTTACCTGGAATTCCTGATTCTCCTTTTGTTCCTTTCTGTCCTTGAAGTCCTAAGATCAAAATACAAAGAAGGAGAGAACATAATAAAACTTGGATATTAGACACTTTTAATCTTAGACAACCTCTACCTTTGTCTGATTAATGCAGATGGAAAGACGTGTTGGTTCTTCACGATTGTTTAAAGCCTGTTCCACGGAGCACAGTCTCCTGCGAGCTGCCTTCCTGTGTGTGAGGAGACTCTGCCCCTCCGAGGCCTGAACACTCCCAGAACCTCTGGCCTTGAATGCTGCTAGTATATGTGGAACTGGTGGTGGTTTTGTCTGCACAACTCCCCTCTTCTGGCGGAGGAACAGAGTTGGGTTTGTGTGGTTTCTCTCTCGGACTCTGGACTCTAGAGGACGCTGCAGAGTGCCTGATATCAGCCTGGCAAACTTAGGGTTAATTTCATAACCAACAAATGGAGCTGCGTGTCAAGAAGTAAGCGAGTGGGTAGCTGACCCAAAACTGGGAGGCACATAGACTCCTGCAAATGCTTCTAAGAAACTTAGAGAAGAACAAGGAAATGATTCTAAGTGACAACCTAGCAATATGATGGTAGAAGTTAATAAACTCTTGGACTAACTCCTTACTTAGAATGGGGAGAAAGTAAATTCACAATATAGGGATTGATTGCTATTATGGAATATTTTTGTTGCTTATCTTTAAAATAAAACATTGTAAAATACAGATGAGAACATAGATTTTAAGTTATTTTGCACTTTGGGTTTGCCTCAAGAGGAAAATAAAAGAACAGGAAAATTCATGTTCTTGTTATATTTTGGACTTGAAGGCTGTTGAGATGAAAAACTTCTGATCAGATTCGTGTTTTGGAGCTTAAAGATTTGGCTGCTTCTAACATTAGCCCATGAGATGGAAATAGAAAGAAATGCCATTATGACGAGTTGAAGCGAGTCCTCATTTCCAAACAAACTTTATGGAATGCTGAGCTAAAATTCATTTAGGGGTGGTTGTTTGTTTGTCTGTTTATTTTTGGAAAAAAAAATAAGTGATTTTGCAATTGTTTAAAAGACAAAAGTTAGAAAAACTAAGTTCTGAGGGTTGGGTAGACCCCTGCTTTGTGAATGGGAATGGAAACTTCCATTGGAGAAGCTCTGCTGGGTGGGAATGCCTACTTACTAAGCTGTGCAGTTCACCTTCCATGGATGAAAGGGGTTCTCGCCACTACCCTTCATCTCAGATGGCTCCTCTTTCTCCAGAGGTGTGAGCGAGAGGAAACCTTTCGCCAGAATGGGTTGGCATGTGGTTAGTGACTGCTTATGACAGCAGGGAGATTTGGTGACTAAGCCAGGATTTACCCTCTTACCATGGGGTGGGAGGTAGGGGCAATTCTGTTCATGTTGAGTCCTATTCTCTGTTTTATTCTACACAACAAAGTCTGGAAAAGAACCGCCTTTGAATCAGACTTTGAGGTTGAGCCCCAGCTTCCGCTCCTGGAAAAGAGCGTTTGCTCACTGGCAGCCTTTGCTGCCTTGGCTGTGAGGTAGAAGATGGTGAAACTCAGGTGTGGTGGTAAATGAAATAACAGCGTGGGAATCAAGTCTGGCTCAGGGTCTGGCCCAGAGGTATTGTTGATAATGAACAGATTTCTTGTTTTTATTATTAATGCATGACATTGAAAGCTAGCTATTGCCCAGGTCAAACCAAGGCACTGTGATTTCTGTTTTCATCCAATGCAGCCAGATATCCTCTTGAGAGATTAATGATTTTATTTACAAAATGGGAAAAACATCAGTTTGAAAAATGGGCTTGATAGAATCAAAACTGGACAAACCCCACAGGACCTTTAGTTTGGGGAATACCGATGTCCTGACATTGAAAAGTCTGCATTATCTTCCATGATGAGATCTGGTCACCACTCTCCACCCATCCTTCCTTCTCCTGCTTCAGAAAGCTAACCTCTCCCAAAGTCCAGTAACCTTTTCCTTTAGGATGATATCTAGACCTGACTCTGATAGGCCAGCTAGGGTCCGATCTATGGAATTCCCTTCTGAGATGTTCAAGGCAATCATTGGCATTTGTGTGGGAAATCTATGCAAGTTTACCGAAGTTGTAATTATCACATTTCTCAAAATGAAACTGTCATTCACCATGTTTACTTGGGCAGCTGGGATTTTTGATTGGTATTTACCACTAAGTCTGATGGATGGAGGTCCCTGGAAGGGTGCCCGATGAATAGACAAGGACTCGATGATGAAGTGAAAATGATCCCAGACTGGGCTAAAATGGGGATGGGGTTGTGGGTGAATGAGAAAGAGCCAAAACAAGGCCTGAGAGCTTCAGGTTTCCTTCCAAGAGTGGAAGAAGCTGCTGTAGCTTCTGCTCTCATCCTTTTGGACTGGGATGGAGGGTAAGTGTCACTCATCAGAGTGTGCTGATGGGGACGAGGGACACCTTTGGCTGCCTGGGGAGGAAGATGGTATGATAAAGTGTAATGGCTAAAGCCCAGCTTTGGGCCAGCTGGGCTGCCTCTCTCACTGTGAAACAGCCCTCACGAGAGTGCGTAGCCCATTGGGCTGTCCTGAGAGTGCTCATGGTCAGGAGCTGCTCTTACGCAAATGCTCCAGGGTGCAGGGTGCAGGGCAGGGTTCCTGCTCTCAGAGAGTGGGCATAGCACCCCTTTGGGTACAATCATGTTTTAGCACAAATATTCTTGCTTAATCTAGCAAGGCGGGGAGGCAGGAAGGCAGGGAGGTGAAGGGATGCTCTCTGTTTATAACTGAGGGAGGAAAGCCATAATCTCCATGAAGCCAAGCAGAAAACTTAGAGGCAAGACAGTGTCAGGTGCCAACATCAGTCACCCTGAGATCTTCAGGGAAAAGGGAGGTATAGGATCAGAATGGGGAGCTGCACCCACATGGAGTCTTTCTGGAAGGTGAGACCTTGCTGGTGGCCATAGGTGGCCTCAAGAGCAGAGCCCTCCTGTACTAACATACAGTCTGTGGGAAAGAAAGCAGCTCCAAGGCTGGGTGGGTTGGAAGAAGGGTGGGTATAGGAGCTGCCTGCGCCATGGCTCCCAACAACCTTTAGGAGAACCCCAGAGGGCAAAAGCCCAAAGTCCAAAGCTGACTAGGAGCTGGCCTCGCCTATCCCCTGAACCAGAGCTCCGCATCCCAACCCAAGACACCAAGCAGGTGCCAGGAATACACCCTACAGAGCTCTCCCTCCACCATGCCTCACCTGCTCTGTCCGCTCTCTAGGCTTGCCTTCCCCTCAGGCACTGACTTCAGTGGCTCTGTGTCCTCTCTCTAGATTTCCCTTCCCCTCCTGCACATGTCTGAGGGAACTCATCCTCCAAGACTCAGCTCATGCTCTTACATCACCCCTGCACTGGACTGCCATTTGCCACCCCCACCAGACTCCAGCCACTGCTACCCTGAAGCATTTAGCAGGGTTAATTCACATTTGTTTAAGGAATTAATCAGTTAATCACTTGCTCAATAAAAACTGAGAGGTCCTGCCTCTGGTGTAGGTCCATAGTATGGTCCTGGGGTGAGGGCATCTAGGTTTGCTAACACCGGCAGGACCGGGAGGGGACTGCAGCAGGCTGCCCACAGGCGTCCTTGGCAGACACGCAGCCCTTTCTCACAGCCCCACATGCTACCGCACCTCCTGGCCTGCACCCAGCTTTCTAAATGGCATGTGACTATTTTCCACACAAATGTCCACATCAAAGTGTGCCTGACACAGTACAGCAAGTCTGTACTAACCCATATGTCTGAGGGCAGGAGCCAGGTCTTATGTTCCATGGGGATCCAGCACCCAACACAGTGGCGCCAACTTTCTAGACCATTGCAGGTGTCCAGACTTAGGTAGTGACTAGATAAAGCTGCCATAGTGGTGTGCTCACTAGACTGCATCGGTGTGACAGTTTGTGAGCTAGACCAAGCCGGCACGGTGGTTTATAACACAGACTAGATTGACATGACAGTCTATAACGTAGCTAAGGTGGCACAGAGGCTTAGAAAGTAGCCTCTGTGAGTTCAGTTGCTGTGGGCTGCTCTTCCCAGCCTGCGAACCCTGGGAGGATATGCAAGAAGGGATTTCTTGACACCTCATGCTCAAATCCCTGACCCTTGGGGCCCCACTCAGGTCAGCAGGAGAGAGTGGAAACCATGCCCACAGGTGGAAGGCAGACCAGGGGGGACAGCATGGCCACGGTGTCCTGCTCTCCTCTGGGACATTAGAGGTTTGGTCGTGGCATTCAATGCCTTTAGGGAATCCTGAGCAGAGGAAGATCAGCCCTAGGACCTCCAGGGGGGCAGCATACAGGAGGCTCTCCGCCTCCCTCTGGGGAGCCCAAAGGGAGCCAGTTCTCCGTCCCATCCATTGCTGCCTGCCCGCCGACCCACACCCTCTGTCACCTGTGTCTCCTTTGCTTCCTTTCATGCCGTTGGGTCCTGGACTCCCTGGTCTCCCTGGTGGTCCTGGACAACAGACGTGACGGTGAGCATAAGAGCTGGGTAGACGGACCTTCACACATCACTCCCCACGCCCACCACCAGATGAGACCTCACCTGTTAGCCCAGTGGCGCCAGCACTGCCAGGCTCACCCTTGGCACCTGGGGATCCTGCTGCACCCTGAGGGCCTCGAGGACCCTCTGCTCCAGGCGGTCCTGAAAGTTAAGTCATGACTGCATGGCTGGGTGGCCGGCAGTGGGCCTGACCGCCGTCCCCTCCACACACCTCTGTTCTTAGCAGTGACCGTGGATGTCCTAACACCTGATGTGTTCCCTGGAAGCCAAGAGGCAGCCCTCACAGGGGAGGTGGGGGGTGGATTACAGTCTCAGCTTGGGGACTCACTAGGAAGCGGGCCGCAAAGGTCTAGCCCCATCCTGGTGACAGAGGGTGAGCCTAAAGAGGAGCATCAGCAATGCGGCTGCCCTGCTCCTCTGGGAGGAACAGGCTTTAGAAGCAGGTGCTCTGCATGAATACCACAATGCAATCCGGTACTGGAGGCAGGCCCTGCACTTGACTTGGCCCAGGGATTGTGGGAGCTGGCATGGTGCCCATATCCTACAGTTCTTACCTTGGTCTCCTTTGATTCCAGGAATTCCAGCCACACCTACAATTAAGAAGGACTTGTAGAGATTTTTTTCCTGTCTCCCAGCCTTCCAAGGACAGTAAATGAAACACGTAGAAGCCAGTGGACCTGACCATGCAGCCCCTTACCTGGAGAGCCTGGCTTCCCAGCATCCCCTTTACTGCCCTGGGCTCCGGGGGGCCCCATGACCCCCATGTCTCCTTTCACGCCCATGCTCCCCTTGCTTCCTGCAAAACCAAGGAGTCAGAGTCAGGCCTGGGAGGAGGGCAAGCCTGGGCACCAGGTCCCACTGACACATCTCTCCCCCTCAAAGACACGATGGCTGCCCCAGAGACAGCTGTAAACTCATCAGAAATGGATGAGAATGACCTGGCCTGGCTGCTGGGCAGTGGAAGGTCTGGCTTTATGGGCCCAGATCAGTGCTCAGATCCCCTTGGGAGGGACCACAGCCCAGGCTCAATTCATGCTGCCCGGCTTACGTGCGGAATTATTTTTATAAGCCTCCCAAACTGAAATCCGAATATTCCAGAAGGCAGGCCCCAAATGCTGAGCATCAAAACCGTGAAGCATCGATGGAGAGGAAAACAGTGCAGCAGCTCATTTTCCTGCCAGGGCTCCTGCCACCAGCTTTCCTTGTGCCCAAGGTTTCAAATTTTCCACTTGTCATCAGCATTCTAGGCTTGCCCTGGCCGGTCCACTCCTCGATCCTCCGGTGCTCCCTCCTCTTTCCTGCCAGTGCCTGGTGCATATCAACTGAGGGCGGCTCCTCACAGGGAAGGATCCATCAGCCCCTCCCCACATGGAGAGTGGGGTTTGAGGGCAGGCTGCATGGCCCTTGCCAGCACACCACGTGGGCCAGCTCGTCAGGAACCCACGGGCTGGCTGGGGTTCAGGAAGCTGCTGAATTCCACCATCAGCCAAGACCCAGCTGAGCATCTCCCCCGGGGCCTGGGGCTGGCCTGTGGGGATAGAATCAATTGAAGGCCTCCATGCCCATACCATTCAGGTATGGCATCAGAGCTGGAGAGGGCCCAGGAGGCCGGAGGCTTTCTGCCTGGTGAAGAGGAGGAGAGATGCAACTTGTACAAACCTCTCCGAGTCTAAGCTTTGAGTGATGTTAGGGACAAGACCGGAGAATCAGGTTCTTGGAGATACTTTGGGTCCTTAAAGAATGATTATTTCTCGATGGGAGACAAAACGAATGTGAAGAGCTTGGTTAGAGTTGACAGTGTGACAGAAACCTTGATGCAGACAGCAAGAAGGCAGCTCTTGGCCATTCAGAGAGTTTACTTGCGCACAAAGGCCAAAGGGCTCTCGTTAGAAGAGACTAAAGGTGATTTCCCTGGAGGAATTGCTTGGGGCCCCACAGCTCTGGGCCAGCCAGGTCCACCACACTGTGACCACTGAGGGGCTGGATGGGGTTTCTGGGTGTGGCCTAGTGGATAACTTCATGTCTCCATCAGAGGGGACAGCCCTAGAAGGAGAGCCGCATCGGGACAAAGACCAGGTGCCAACTGAGCAATCACAGCTGGGTCTGACCGCAGACCTTCCCACTCACAGCTGACAATGGAGCGTGCCCCTGGGACTTCACCACTGTCTGCTGGGACAAAGCTCAGTACCACCAGGGCAGGTCGCACGTGAGGGGCTAGCCCTGTTCCCCAAGTGGGGCAAGCAGTGGGTGGAAGGGTTTGTGGTCCTGGATGATCAGGGGCAGAAGAGGGGCAGGCCAGAGTCTGATTTCCGGAGAACTGAAACTGCCTCGTTTCCCCTCGCTCACCACAGGGTTCCCAGGCTGTGCCGGGTGTGGACACAGTGCCTCCTATGGGCATGGTGAGTGGATGGGAAACAGGATGCTCAGGCTCCTTGGGAAAGGCCTGATGCCCACAGGCCTGACTTCTGCCCCCTCTCTGGCTCAGGCAGTGCCACCCTGGGAACCAACCTTTGAGGCCAACTGTCCACCACCCGCCTGGTGCAAGGAGACCCTGCAGTCCCTCCTGGGGGAACTCCGCACCTTGTTTTCCATCCCAGCAGCTGCTGTCCCTAAGCCTTGGTCTGTTCATTCACCAGGGGGCAGCCCCAAGCCTTCCCTGGCTCTTCCTCGCTCACCCCCGCACAACTGCTTCTCCTGAAACTTTTGCCCATTGGTCTTCGTCCTGCTGGCACCACTAGAGCAAGCCCACTTTCCCCCCCACAGGTGCCTTCCTAAGACCTGAGGGCAGCTGGCGGCCCTGCCCAGGGCTCTCTCCCCAAGGCAAGTGTGCCTAGCTCCTTATCATGTACATAGCACACTCTGCTATGTCTTATGTTCCTGTTGTAATTCATCCTCATTAAAGGCTACTGCTGTTCTCCTCTTTGGTTAGGTGAGTAAATGGAGGCTCAGAGATGTTAGGTCGTTTGTCACACAGCTAGTGAGCCACACTGGAGCTAGATCTGTCTGATCTTGGAGCAGAGTATTCCCTTCCCCCCAGGCCCCGCCTGAAGTGGGTCCCTACGCCCACTTCAGGACCGACTTGGGCGCCTCACCTTCTTTCCCTGTGACTTCCTAGCTGCCCTGTCCCCAGGTGCCACCAGGTACGACACATTGCCCCTTTGCGTTGCTCTGACTCCACATTCCTGCCCTTGGCTCACCTGGATGGCAGCTACCACACCTCCCATCCCAGGACGCTGGTAGGCAGAGCTCAGCCCCACCCTCAGTAGGTGCCGAACGGACATGGCTGCATAGAGTGGACCCAGCCCCCAGGCCTCCCAGCGGCACCCACTCCCAGCAAGGCCCTTACCTGGGAGGCCGGGGTCTCCTTTGTCTCCCCTAGCACCAGCATCCCCTTTGGGGCCAGTGAGACCCCCATCGCCTTTGCTGCCCTTCTGTCCTGGGGTGCCTGCGGAGGGAATGGCCGGTGAGGTGGGCTCCCAGCATCCTCCTGGGCATGGGCTCCTGGGCGGTGGGCAGGGGACATTCTGGGGAGAGAAGGACGTCCCCAGAGGAAATCTGGGGTGTGTAGCTTATCTCGTGGGTAATCTCACGGTGGCCCAGTAAGACTCCGGAGAAGAGGGCAGTAGGAGGGCACCAGTGCTCTGGGGCTGGGGAGGTGCCAAGGGGAAGGGGACAACAGATGAACAGGTGCCTGGGCCCGGGCCCACTCATTCCAAGCAGAGAAAGCTCAAGTTACCAGTGGCTCCTGGCTTCCCTGGAGCACCCTGCGGTCCTTGGAGACCTGGGAGAAAGGAGGGAGCGTCAGTCACTCTGTGGCCTGGGGTCTTCAGTCAGCAGGCATCTGGGCCCTGCCCTGGGCCAGGCGCCCAGCAGGCGGTCTCTTTCTCTCTCCGCCTCTTTGTCTCCTCTTCACACGCACACACAGAGGCACATGTGCGGGCATGTGTGAGCACGCGGTGTGCAGGGGCCCATGTATGTTCCTCACGGCACCATCAGTTCCTCCCGTTGTTTGCCCACCCTCCCCCCTGAAAAACCCCTGCTGCAGAAGTAGAACGGGAGACTCTTTGGGGCCCTATTAAATCCCTCTCCCCAGTTAGTTCCTCCAAAAAGATTTTATTTGCTGACAGATTTCCCTCCCACAGCTGCAGGTGTTTCTTCCTGCCCAGTGGCCCGGAGGCCTAGTGACTGTGGGTTTGTGTACCCGCCCTTGCTGGCTACCCTCCCCTCAGCTCCTTCCCTCACACCGTCTTATCCTCTTCACATGTCAGCAGCCCCAGCCCCTCCAGGGACCGGGAGTTTGGAGAGTGGACTGGGCTGTAAGGGTCATGGGCTCTGACATTTCGGCCTGCCCCCTTCCCTGGGGGAGTGCAGCCGAGCTCCCCACATTCTCTGCCCCAGCCATGCCATGGTCATTTGTGAGGTGCTGGGCAGGTTTAGGCTACAGCCTAAAAGAGAGAAACAATCGTGGGCTTTTCGTCATCACTGCTAATCCCCCAGTGACCCTCAGAAGCACACGCAATCCCATTTTACAGACAACGAAACGGAGGTTCAGAAACGTAAGTGAATGTTCCCAGCACCACGGAGCTAGTGCATGCTGCAGGCAGGTGTGTCTGACCCTGGAGTCCCTACTACACCACTGAGCTTGACTCCCCGGTGATGTTCAGAGGCTTGGACGCCTGGGCCCTGAGGAGGGGGTTGGAGGGTCCACCCCCTCCAGCCTCATCAGAGACCCCCCGCCCCCAACACAGGGCGCTTCTCAGCACTCCCAGGCCACCCAGGGTGACCCACAGAGCTGGCCTCCAGCACACAGGGCCTGCTGAGTGTTGGTCTGGGAGCCTGCTGGGGGTGCCGGCACACATGCTGGCCCCACTTACCCGCCTCTCCCTTGACTCCTGGCAGGCCTGGGGGTCCTGGGGGTCCTGGAAAGGAAAAGGCATTCAGCATGTCTCTGGGACAAGGAGACAGAGGACCATGGGCCAGGAGACCAGGGGCAGGTATCAGTGGCTGCACTGTATCCTTGGCTGCCCTGGCCCTTCCCAGCTGTGAATGCCAGGGGACCTGAGGAAAAGGAGCAGAGACACTACTGGGACAGCCAACCACCAAGGCGGGTGTCCAATGCCACTCAGTGCCATTGTTCATTTAGCACTCACTGAGCGCCAGGACCAGCCAAATGGTGCGGAAGGAAGCAAACAGCACAGCGCTCCTTTTCACAAGGAGCCAGTGGCCCGGTAGGCAAGGCGCAAAGGCATTCTCTCGGGCTCTGAGCTGGACACCTGGGCCCGCAGCAGCAGGGGGACCCCGTGCCAGCACCCGTGGTTTCAAGCCTCACCTTCCCGGTCAGTAAATTGGTGTTGATATACCAGCTCCACAGGGCTGCCCCCAGGTGGTCACAGGGCGGCCACACGGAACATGCGGCAGGTCGGGGTACATGGCACCGTCACTGCTGCACCCACATGCAGTTCTCTCTCCAAGGGCCGCCTGCCATGCAGCTCCAGTCTCTCCACGGCTCGCAGGCAGGACAGACAGGACCGTTCTGGCTGCTGTAACCCAACACCTGGGCTGGCGGCTCGAAACAACTGATCCATTTCTCAAGGTTTTGGACTCTGAAGGGCAAGACCTGGGTGCCAGCACGGCCAGGCCCACTCAGCTCCTGGACTGTGTGTGTGTGTATGTGTGTGCTTGTTTGTGTATGTGTGTAACTGTGCGTGGGTATGTGAGTGCTCAATGAGTGCTGAATGAACAATGGCACTGAGAGGCATCGGACACCCACCTTGGTGGTTGGCTCAATGGTGTCTATGCTCCTTTTCCTAGGTCTTTCTGATCCCAAAGGGCCTGGCATTCACGGCTAAGAAGGGGCCAGGGCTTGTGTGTGTGTGTGTGTGTGCTTGTGTGTATGTGTATAACTGTTTGTGTGTGCTTATGTGTGTGTATAACTGTGTGTGCATGTGTGTAACTGTGTATGTGTAACTGTGTGTTTGTGTATGTAACTGTGTGTGCAACTGTGTATATGTGTATAACTATGTGTATGTGTGTGCTTGTGTAACTGTTTGCTTGTGTGTTTGTGTAACTGTGTATGTGTGTGTTTGTGTGTATGTGTGTGTGACTGTGTTTGTATGTGTGTAACTCTGTGTGTGTGTGACTGTGTGTGTGTGTGTGTTTGTGTGTGTGTAACAGTGTGTGAATGTGTGTGACTGTGTGTGTGTGTAACTGTGTGTGTGTATGTAACTGTGTGTGCTGAGGGAGGAAGCACAGGCAGCTAAGCCCAGGCTCCATCCTCAGAGAGCACCGTTATTGTCAGACATTTCACGTCACCTCTCTGGACTCTTACAGCAACCCTGAAAGGACGCACATTTATCTCCATTATTGTCTACCAGGGGAGCAGCCAAGGGTCCAAAAAACTCATAACTGGCTCAAGGCCATGCAGGAGTAGACCTGGCACCTGGCAGACCAGCGTGCCCCACAGGCTGCCTGCCGTCCTCATGGTGGCCACAGCCAGAGGCACACTGAGTGCTCGGTGTCAGGTGATAGGGCCTGGGAGAGCATGATGGGAGACAAAGGAGGAGCTGCAGCTGGGGCCCTGGGGGAGAGGCCCGCTGAAGGACGCACTGGGCTGTCTGAGCCGAGTGATGCTTGGCGGGGAGGCCTTCCCCATTGGACCAGGGGTGGGTGGAGAGGCGGTGGGGACCAGGGAAGGTGAGCTGGGGTCAGGTGTGGAGGCCCAGAAAGGCACTGGCCAAGGGCTGGGGAGAAGGTTTCGGGAGGGCAGGGGGTCGGAGTGGGAATGAACCCACCTTGAGCGCCACGTTCGCCTTTGGTCCTGAGGAGCTCTGCGAGGGAAGGAGAGAGGGTCAGCCAGAGCTGCCGTGTGGCCAGAGCGCCCTCTGGGCAGGCAGCACTGCGGCTGGGGCACTGGCCACAGGAGCTGAGCCCGGCATTCATCAGGAGGAGTCCTTACAAAGGGTCAGATGTTCGGTTAGTCCTCACAGGAGAGCCTGAGGTCTCTGCGAGTCCTAGAGTGCAGGACCCCGAAGAGCACCCCTGGGCATCAGAAGACCCTGAATCCCAACCAGCGGGGCAAGCGCCTCGGGTTAAAGGAAGGGCCTCCTGTGATCAGAGCTAGTCCTCCTCCCAAGGGGCAGAGGGCCCGTGTGTGAGTGCCAGAGCCTGGGCTCTGCTCCTCGGCCACTGTCCCCTCCCCTCGCGTCACCATTGGGCTCTCATCTCTGCTCACTGGGGCAGCAGCAGCCTCTCCCGGTCCTGCCCTCCGGCTCCTGTGTCCGGCACGTGGTCCGTGGGCACAGCCCCTGGAGAGGCTCACCTCCTAGGCCAGTGGTCGGCAAACTGAGTCTCTGTTGACTAACGAGTTTGCCGACCATGTCCTAGGCCCCAGCACACCCAGACACAGGCAAGGCCCTGGGATCCAGGTAACAGTGTCAGCCCTGAGGCAGCCAGGTCGCACCCAGAAGCTGGCTGTGCTGGATTAGCTCTTCCCACTCTAGGACAGCCTGAGAGAGGGGGTCAGGGAAAAGGGACCCCTTTGGCTCCACTTCCTCCTGCCTGTGGCTCTACCTGCTAAGCCGGCCTGTCTTCCCTGCAGGCCCAGCTGTCCTTTCCCATCCAGTATTTCTTAGATGTACGATGGGGTCCCGGGAGGTACCCCGGCTTCTGTGTCTTACCCAACCTCAGACACACTCTGGATCAGGCTGACGGCTTTGTGACTCAGACTCGGCCTGAGGCTGGTTACTCCAGGTGCTGGCTCCTGAGGTCACACTCTGCTTGGACAGGTTGTGGCTCCTATGTTCCTGGCCCCACTCTCCTACCGCCCTGCCTGCAGCCCATGGGACCTGCAGCTTCATGTCCCTCTCAGATGGCTCGCACCCCTGTCTTGAACTCCAGGGTTCCATACCAGGCCAGGGTTTGGGAAGACCTTGCCAGGGAAGGAAATGCAGGCCCAAAATTCCCTTGAGAAGGGCCCACGAACTAGCAGCTCCTCCTCTGAGGAGTCCCCATCCGGAGAGGAGGGGCCAGACCTGGGCTCCGGGTGAAGTTGTCCACCTGCTGCATCAGCTGCTCCTGCTGGGCGCAGACCTGGCTGAGCTGGGCCTGCAGCACCTGCAGCCTCGTAGCCCCCGCAGGCAGCGGAGGGCTGTGCGGCGACCAGAGTTTGGCGAAGGACGGGCTCTCCTCAGCGGCCAGCGTTCCGTTGTCAAAGTGCATCTCCAGGGCCCTGAGGTGCTCCTGCAGATACAGAACTAGACACCCCCCCGCACACACAGCTTCTTTATGACCGCAGTAAAGCCCGGCGTTTAGGCATTTGGTCCCATTCCCGACAGGCTTGTGCTGCAGGCGCATAACTCCCGTGAGCCCTGAAGACGCGGTCCCGTGCTGTGAGGACCGTGTGGGCACAGAGCTTTAGCTATACCTTGCACATGTGTGCTCCACGCAGGCATGACATTACATGTTCACACTCATGTACCCACAGTGTCACCTGCCTGCTCCATGTGTGAATGCATGACAACTTCTGTGCTGGTCTGACTTTTTCAGGTGTGACTTGAATGTGCATGCAACATGTGTTTGTGGCATCTGGGCGCACGCTGTTCTGCGTGACTTTAGTGCCTGCCGGTGGAGTTGCTTCATCGGTTTCGCATTTGGACCTGAACACTTTGAAAGTCAAGTCATGTTGAAACGCACACTGATCAGCAAAGCCCCTTCCCACTCAGAGGCTGGAACCTTGACACAAGGTGCTCACGGCACACTGTGTGAGAGCAGTGCACCTTCACTGCTTTGGACACACAGGCTCCCGTGCACATTCTTTCTCCTCTCTCTCACATGCGTGCACACACACACACAGACATGCACATGTACATGCACACCCACATGCACACCCTCATGCACACCCTCATGCACACATGCAACACAACACACTCGTCCACCTTCTGCCTCCCCAGGGCTCTGCACTCAGCTGCAGCTCTGCGGGTCAGGGCCGTGTTCGGACACTCCCCGAGGGACTAAGCCTGCGTTACCTTTCAGCAGCAGCAGCCCGGTGCCCGCGGAGAGCAGAATCAGGTAGGTGACCACTATGACCATGAAGCACTTCATCCCTTTTCTCTTGTAGGGCTTTGGATCTGAAACGACCAGGGGGAAGGTGGCTGCTGTCAAGGGAGGGGAGCAGGAGCCCCAAGGCTGCCGGAATCCCCTGTGTGAGCGAGCAGAGGGCTCCCAGTAAAACTGAGTGGAGAGGACACCAAAGGTCTACTACCCTCAAACCCTCCCTCTTGCCCCAGCACAGGAAGTGCCATTGTAGTGCATTCATTTCTATGGCCAAGAGAACAAACACCGTTGCCACATATCATAGCTGGAAGAGGGTGGTCCTTAAGCTGGTAGCACAGTGCCCGGCCACAAGGTGCTCTCTGAAGATGTTTATCAGCTGAATTAGCACATAGATGTGTTTGTTTAAAACCCAGAGAAAAGAAGCATGTTTCCACTTTATAAATAAGGAGAAAGGTTTGGAGAAGTTGAAAAAAACTACTAGGTTTTAAGATGCAGACCTGGAATTCATATCTAGGCCATTGTTTTCTTTGTCTTTAGCTTTTGAAATTATAACAGTAAAACATTCTTAATAAACCCTGCCAGAGTGGCTGTGTTGCGCATTGACCTGTGAACTGGGAGGTCATGACTCGATTCCCAGTCAGGGCACATGCCTAGGTTGCAGGCTCAATCCCCAGTGTGGGGCATGCAAGAGGCAGCTGATCGATGATTCTCTCATCGTTGATATTTCCATCTCTCTTTCCCTTTCCCTTCCTATCTAAAATCAATAAAACATCTATATATAACATTCTTAATATAATTGAAGAATATAGAGAGCATTACAAGAGTTAATGATTTTACCTCAACCCTCTGAGCTCCTAAATGAGGAGGTGGGCTTGGTTAGCATTCTGGGATGTGCCCTTCCTCCCCAGAACAAAGACCTGTGCCATGTATCATAGCTGGAAGAGGGTGGTCCTTGCTTTCAGAAACATAACACCCATACTCTCTTAAGTCCAGTTACTTTTCTTTTAATTTCACATAAATGATAACATATTACATATAATATAGCACCTTGCTTTCTGCAATGAGTGATTTTTCCATGGACATTCCTCAGTTGTATAATATATTAATATATGACAAAGAAAGATCAATAAACTAAATAATAAGATAATTTAAATTATCCAATCTGAAAAGCAGTCAATTCTCTCACACACAAACCTAGCCTTAGAGACCTGTGAGTCAATAACAAAATACATAATATTGATGTCATTTAAATCCCAGAAAGAGTGTGAGGTTGACAAAATATTCAAAGAAATAATGTTGGCTGAAAACTTCTCAAATTTAGTGAAAGACATAAACCTACAAATTCAAGAAATTAAGAAAACCCAATCGTGATATAAGCAAAAAAATCAATACTAATTTACAAGTAAAATGTAAACAAACAATCTAGATTAAAAGAAAATTAAAAATCTAAAGAAAAACTAAAACTCTTAAAAGCAGCCAGGAGAAAAATGGCACATTGCACAAGGCATATCAACTTGAATGATAGCAGATTTCTCATCTGATACCATGGAAATCAAATGGAAGTGCCATTTATTTTTTCCCTGTGCTGAAAGGAAAAAACAATTATCAACCATGAATTTTATATCCATGAAAATACTTTTTAAGAATCAATGGGAAATAAAAAGATTCTTAGATGAACAAAAACTAAGAGAAGTTATAGCTAATAGAAACTGGCAGAGTGGTTTAAATATTATGATCCAACTATATACTATCGTATTTATAAGAAATCAAAAAATATAGAACTTCCATTCACTTGAGGTAAAAATAGATATAAGTGAAAGGAAAATAGATAAAACCACAATTATAATCTGGGACTTTAACAACTCACTCTTAGCAGTTGATGGCAAAAAATCAGCACAAGCATAGAAGAATTGAACACCACAAGGCAACAGGATCCAATCAACATTAATAGACTACCCCACACAACAACAGCAGTATACACATTCTTTCCATGCACCAAGACAGTCCGTATCTTGGGTCATAAGTCAAACTTCAACAAGATGTAAAATGAACAGTCATATAGAGTATGTTCTCTGGAATAAAAATAGAAACCAGTAACATACAGACAATAGGAAAATCCCCAAAAGATTAAAAAAAATTTTTTTAAAGACTTTATTTTATTTTATTTTATTTTATTATGTAATTTATTAGAGTGACATTGGTTAATAAAATTATATAGGTTTCATGTGTACAATTCTATAATAGATCATCTGTACACTAGTATTTTATTGTGTGTTCACCATCCCAAGTCAAGACTCTTTCCATCACTATTTATCCTACCACACTCTCTTCTACCTCTCCCATCCCCTTTCACCATACTCTTGTTTGTCTCTATGAATTGGTATTGTTGTTTTTTTTAACCTAATCCCTTCTCTTTTTTCACCCCCCCCTACTCCCCTCCTCTTTTTGAGAGATTTGCCAGTCTGCTCTCTATCTATAAGTCTGTTTTTATTTTATTTTAGTCAAAAAATGAATAAACCAAACACATTTAAATAATGGAAAGGTTATAAAGTCTCAAAGAAAATTAAACAAACAAATAAACAAAACACAAAAAAGAACTGAGTGAAAATGAGAATACAACATATGAAATTATAGGATATAGCTAAAGCAGCACCAAGAGGAAATTTATAGGACTAAATGCTTACATTACAAATGAGAAAAGATCTCAAATCAATAAACTAAATTCCAGCCTCAAGAAACTAGAAAAGAAGAGCAAAGTAAACCCTAAGCAACCAGAAAAAAAGGAAATGATAATGATCAGAGCAGTCCTGGCTGGGGGGCTCAGTTGGTTGGAGTATCGTCCCATACACCAAAAGATTTAGGGTTTGATTCCTAGTCAGGGCACATACTGAGGTTATGGGCTCCATCTCTAATCAGGGAACATACAGGAGGTGGCCAATTGAAGGATGTTTCTCTCTCTCTCTCTCTCTCTCTCTCTCTCTCTCTCTCTCTCTCTCTCTTTCTCAATAAATATATCCTTGGGCAAGGATTAAAAAAAAAAGATCAAAGCAGCAATCAGTTAGATTTAAAATACATTAACAAAAAAAAAATACATTAACAAAACAAAATGCTGGTTCTTTGAATAAAACCAATAACATTGATAAAACTCTAGCAAGACTGACAAAGATTTTATTAAAAAGGTACAAATCATAATATCAAGGATAAAATAGAGGATAGTACCACAGATACTGCAGCAATTAAAAAGAAAATAAGGAAATAACTAACTCTGTTTATAACTTAGAAGAAATAGGGTCAATTGCTCAAAAACATAAGCTATCAAAACTCAGTCAATATGAAATAGATAATATGAATACCTATAATTATTAAATAAATTTAATTTTAATTAAGAACTTCTGAAAAAAAATAACCAGGTTCAGGTGATTTTATTGGAGTATCTTGACAAAACTTTAATAAAGAATAAGCATCATTTTTATACAATCTCCTATAGATTATAGAAGAGTAGAGAGTACTTCCTAACTTTATTTTTTTAAGGTCAGGAATACTCTGACATGAAAATGAGACAAAGACAGTACAAGGAAAGAAAAAAAAATCAATGTCTCTCATGAAATTTAACATAAAAATTCTCAATAAAATATTAATAAACCATGTCAAACAATGTATAAAAAGAATTTATATATCAAGGCTAAATGATATGCAAGGATGGTTCAATATACAAAAATCAATCACTATGATTCACCAAATCAACAGACTAAAGCAGAAAAATTACATAATCATTTAATTGATGCAGAAAAAGCAGTTGACAAAATACAATTAAAATAAAGCTCTCATAATTATAATTCATTATCTCAACTCTCATAATAATAAATTCATAATAAAACCTCTCAGAAAACTAGAAATAGAGAACTTCCTCAACTTTTAAAAAAGGAACATCTACAAAATATCTAAGTGTAAGATTTAGGAAGTCTTTTCTATCAAAAGTTATAGTTTAGATATTAACTACATTTCCCTTTTATAACCTCCCCTCCATTTTGTCCTCAAATCAATCCGGGCCTCCCTTCCTGGAAAAGACAAAGGCATAGTGCTTCCCTTTTTCTGGCAGCAGTTAAAGCTTAACAGGTAGTTAACACTACAAACATTCCTGTGGGAGACAAAGACATATTAGTAGTTTTGCACCACTTTTCTGCAAAGCATTTGAAACAGTCCCCATCCCTTGCTGCACCACCCTCCTCAGGTTAGACCAGGGGCTAATGCCCCACAGGGGGGCAGTTTGATTTTTAAGGGGGGGCAATTCAAGAATGAGTTATTAACAGAGAATTTTTTGCATTTCTTATGGTTCTAGGGGCCTCATATACAGTATAATAATATAGTGATATATTTATGCATTTCAGTTCTCAATTATATGTTTTGAAACTTTATTTGCTACTAGAGGCTCAGTGCACAAAATTCGTGCATTGGGAGGGATCCCTCAGTCTGGCCTGCTCCCTCTCATAATCTAATGTCACTGGCTTCTAACCACTCACCTGCCTGCCTGCCTGATCACCCACCCCTAACCACCTCTGCCTGCCAACCTGGTGCCCTAACTGCTTCCCTAACAGCCGTAGCGCCCTTAACTGCCTCTGCCTGCCAACCTGATCATCCCTAACCACATCTGCCTGCCAGCCTGATTGCTCCCTAGCTGCTCCACTGCTAGCCTGATCACCCACAAAATGCCCTTCCTTGCCTGCCTGATCACCCCTAACTGCTTTTCCCCTGCTAGTTTGATTGCCCCTAATCGCCTTGCCATGGCCCCTGCCTCTGTGGCTTTGTCCTGAAGGACATCTGGAAGATGTCTTGTCTAATTAGCATATTACCCTTTTATTAGTATAAATATTTTCATATCACATCATATTATTTTTTTTAACAATTTCTTAGTGATTTCTCCCTCAGTATTTCAACTGACCTTTTGTTCTTTTATTTTTTTCTTTCATGCATATCATATTCTTTGGAAGGTTGTTTAGACCAAGTCTTTTAGGCTTCCCCCACGTGAATAGTTCACTTTTTAAATAATAAGAATTATACGTCACGGAGAGGGAGG